AAAAAAAAAAAAAAAAAAAAAACTCGATCCAATCCTCACCCCGGCGTGAATCGACAACACCGACACGAGCCTCATTTCCGGTTAATTCATTCGAACGAGGTATATTGGCTTATCTTAACTTTTTACATTGTTTGGAGTTGTTTGGAGATTGGGGATTGTTATAATATGTTTGAATGTGGTAGTGTTTGAAAATTGAAAATTGCTAATTGATTATCGATTATGTGTGTATGTTGAATTGAGGATTGAAATCTTGTGTGTAATTTTTTAACTGTGTATTGTTTGGTTGTTGGGGTTAGGGTTTTTGGAAATTAGGGTTAGAATTAGGGATTTCAATTTATCCGAATTATAGATGAATTTTATGTTATTGTTTGATTATGAGTATTAGGTTTTGGAGGATTATTTGATTGGGAATATATATATATATATATATATATATATATATATATATACATATATATATATTTGGTTGGAGTACAAAAATAAGTTTTACATTTTAGACATCATGTGTGTTGTAATTGAAAAGAATTGAAAAAGTTTTTTTGCAACAAGTATAAATGGCGTATTCCGGTCCATACCTTGTTTGTAACACCCCGCCTAAGACTTACTAAAATCAGAGTAAATTTTTCGCGCTATAAAAAGAAAACACTTATTTAATTTTTCGAAAACTCATATTATTTTTTCGAAAATACTTTAACTTTAAAACGCGGGATGCTACTCAACTTTAATCTTATATCTTTATCACTATAATCTATCATGCATGCGACCAGGTAAAATCATTCTAGAATTAAGGCCATGAATAATACCGGCTAAAACATGTATATTCTGAAAATCTGAAATAATCTAACATCTGAAATAATAGTCTGAAATCTGACATCTGAAACACAAGTCTAACATGCGGAAGCAAGTACAAGTTCAGAAAAGCACACAAGCATAAAACAAACATAGATAATTCGAACATGTTCAAATACTATATGACATGTTTTCACAAAAATGTCCTGAAGCTGGACCAACACCACATAACTGCTCACGCTCCACGCGGGACTCCATCACCTGAAAAATAGGGTAGTGGGGAGGCGTGAGCACAAAGGAATCAACAGTGCTCCACCGGAACCGGCACTGAATACTCAGCACAATTAATAATAAACTATGGAATCAACATATATATGAATAAACTGGTCTGACTATGGGACTAACGGTAAACCGGTACTCATGTGTACACTTTGGGGGTCCCCTCCCACAGAAATCCAGGAAAGGCACTAATCACCCCATCTGGACGCTAGACTTAGGACGAGCCCTAATCACACACATCAAAGTCATAACTGAAATACTGAAATATTGACCAAGACGGGATAACTCATCCGTCTCGGTCCTTCAATTTAAACACATATAGATCTCAGACATGGTAAATTATTAAAAGCGATGAAATACACAGTACATGGTTGTAACACCCCACTTTGATTTTAAAGAAATTTCGGACTTTCCAAAAATCAGAAAATAATTTTTCGAGATCATTTTCGAAATCTAACGGGTGTTAAACAATATTTTTCATAACCCAAGTCTTATCTGGGCCCACGGAGATTCATTATCCGGTTTTCACAAGTTTTTCATTAACCCAAATCATATGACATAAAAAAAAAAAATACTCAACATGAAATATTCAAACCTCATAAAAACCAAACATCATAAACAAGGTTCTATCAAGTATTCCCAACATCAAAACAACTCATAAGTTTTTAATAAAATTTTTCACAAGCCTCAACATAAAAGGTTCAACGGAACCTCATTTATTCTAACGGAAGCGAAATATATAGGCATAATCAATAGATCGACCCACTCGTCTTTCCTCGTCAGCCGACAGCTGCTTAACCTGCATCCGTGAAGAACAGGTGGGGATGAGCACAAGATGAAAACGAGGTTCTCACCACTATGCACGTATAGCACAATAATGAATAATGTAAAGAAGGCATGGTCGCAGTATGAACATAAATCAATTA